TGCTGGCGTATTGAGGGTGCACACTTAATATTTCAGTGGGGTTAGCCGTGTGTGTGTGTGTGTGTGTGTGTGTGTGTGTGTGTGTGTGTGTGTGTGGGTGTGTGGGGGGTGTGGGTGTGTACGTGTTTATGCTATGGGGACTTGTCATCTTCAGTCTGGCTGCGTCTTTGCTGGGTTCAAACCCAGTTTGGTGTAATTGAATAAGTCAATGAATCTGTGTAAAAGAATTAAGTTGTAAAAATTATTTGTTTTTGTACATCAATTGTTTGTGGAGGTAATATATGGACAAAACTGATTTATGAGAAGAAATCAGAAATAAGAGAGCCTGTAGGGGCTTAAACTATTTAATGAGGGCTGTGGGAAGAAAAGCGGCAATTTTTGTTTTCTGTTTCTTTGTTACATTGCTGATAACTGGAGGGAGGCTGAGGCCCAGAGTATCTTGTACATGTTTAGTTTCTTTTGCACCCTGTTTTGAGTTTTTGAGCTCAATAAATCACCAACACCGGTAACCCGACTGAGCCTGGATTCTTGGAGGCCAAAGAACCCCGTCACAGTGACCCAAATCATTCCTGTTACTGTTATTATATAGTAAATTAAATCATTACTGTTAAATTGTATGTATTGTCCAAATGTTTATTTGAATTCTTATTCCGGATTAGTTGGAGACATACACTAGGCTATATCAGCCCCACCAAAAATATTTTTCACCAGCCGCCACTGTTTTCCAGCCTTGCTAAGCTGATTACATTGCCCATGGATGGGACAAACAGCAGCATTCACCACATGGTGTTCGACCTGGGAACAGTGCAGCGTGCAAAACAGGGTCTTGTTTTCCTCTGCAGCTGATCTGCTCATGCTAAATGCCTTCCTGTGTTTTTCCCTGTAGCCATAAAGGAAGTTTGTTTCTTGTGTTTGAAGTCTATAATCTAAGCGTTTCTCCTGCCTAAATCAGATCAATCACCACCATCCCAGCTGGGGTAATCATGGCCAAGAATATCAACTAAACTGCTTAGTAATGAATTCTGAAACCAGAATGACGCAGGCAGGGAAGCTGGACAGCTTAGTGCTCACAGGCTCTTGAGCAAATTCTTGAAATCAATAAACACTACCAAAAGGCTATTATTTTGCATCTGTTCTTATTGGCATTATGTACACAAATATTTTGGCATCTATTTACAGTATTAATGCATTTTTTTTTTTTTTTTACCACATCCTTCAATGTTATATAGCAATGGAGTAAAACATAACTTTTCTACACTAGAATAATATTTAACAGAAGTTAAGGAGTTAGAGACAGGTTACATGTTGGACAAGTGGCCGACCTGTTAACATGAAAAAAAAAAAAAATAGTAAAAAAACAATCCAATGCCAGTGCCAACTCAGGAATGCCAATCAGGTGTATGTTTTTTATAAGGCTGTAAGAACAGCCTTATAATATAGTTGTAGCAACTGCACCAGTCTAAAATCCTCTACGAAGCATTGAAGTTTGCCCACCTCTGTATTATTAAAATAACAACAATCAGGTCTTTCTTAGTTAGGAATGTGAACCGTACAGCTGGTACCTAAAAATGCTTTAAAATTAAACTATTTGAGAACCAGGTTAATGTTTAATCCTTGGTGGTTTGACTATGTTAAGGATCACATCATCCTCTCATATATAGAGACGGATTTGTCAAAGATTAACGTGATCAATAACAAAACCGCTGGAGATTACATAAGGTTAAGGGTTTATCTTTAAAAAATGGAAGCAAAGCTTAAATCCAGGCTACCATATGTTTTCAAAACTTATTCCTAGAAGAATCACTGGTGTCTATATCAAAGTTGTAAAGAGGTGAGAGTCAGGATACACCCCAGACAGATCACCAGCCCAGTGTAGAGCAATACAAAGAGACACGGGAATGAAAGTCCACATGCAAGGCAGGCAGGAGCAGTCTGTTACTCTGATTGTTTTTGACCAATTGGAAAAAGCTGGAGTACTCTGAGAACCCCTGGACTGGAAGAATAAGCACTACTCCACCATGTGAGGATTAAAAATAGATAACTCTGCTCTAGGCGTAACCTGGTACGAGATTCTTGAATGAATGATGGTGGTTGCATGCACTTAAGCCGTGCAGAGATGAAAAACTTGCAACATGGACTGCGGGCGGGAAGCATTTGATCTTTACTTGATGTATCGACCTTTTGATTCAACTTGAACCTCAAAGGTCGAACAATAAAAGATAAATGGCCATATATAGACTCTCTGTAGAGCTTTATTGTTTGGCGAGTATCATGAGACTCATACTCAAAAAATGATGGCTCCTTTACAGCTCACAACACAACCAGTATGAGATTTTTAAAGTGTTCGATAAATATCAATATTTATTCACACTTTACAGTGTTCAGCAACAGGTAGGGTTTGGGGGTTATAGCAGGTTTTTGATACATTATGCACCACAAATCCAAATAGAACTTAAAAGCACCCTCTCTTTTATGATGTGCAATTCTGAAAAAAAAAAAAAAAAATGGTGGCAATACCCTTCTAAAAATGTACCTTTACACATTGGCTTTCAGCCCAACTCAGAATTGATTCCACTTATTTTTCTTTCTTTTTTACCCTCTTTCATTATTGATTTGATCTTTTTACTGCTATGTTGTATTTTATTGTTTTAATCTACATACATTGTTATATGTTTATCTTATTAACCCATTATAAGTTTTTTTTCTGTTTTTCTTCATTGTTTGGTCTTTACTGTTCATCATGGACTTTATTTATCTGTCCTTTATTAACTAAAGCATGGTTTATACAGGAAGGAGGGACTCTAATTAATGCTTTTTAATGTTCTTAGAAATAATTTTAATGCCATCAATAAGTACCCACTACTCTCATATAAATATATATATATATATATACATATATATATATATATATATAAACACTGCAAATTCCTTCGTAATCTTTACCATCGACAGGCTGCAGCCATGTCCCGAATTTCTTGTTTTCTAGCCACTTATGTTAAAATTTGCATTTTCCCATTCTCTAGCTTTTTCTGTGCCTCGAGCTTCTGTTCCGAACATATGGCTTTAGGATCGAGCAGGAGCAGTTCCACGCAAACACGTGGAACCAGTTAAATCTTATATATTTGACAAAATTATATTTTTTTTATAAAGCATTTTAAATGCCATGATAATCATGTTTAATGAATTGTAATGGCAATTAAAGCTTTAATATAAAAAATAATAATTTAATGGCTTAATGATCCGCGGAAACCCTGTAAAGTGACCTCTTTTTATAGTAAAGACATTCATAAAAGTCCCCCAGCTTAAGTAGTGAACCAGGGACAACTCGTTCATATGCTCTACCCCTACACCACCAGCCCACTATACCTAGATTTAACTTAATATGTGTAGCTAAGCTGGTCAAGAGCTGCAATCTTTACAAAAAAAATGTTTTAGCTTGATGAAAGTGGAGCCAAAAATCTGAGCTATCGGTTAAAAACTTGTATCCACACTGAGATCTGCCAGGAATAACCCCAAACTAAGATCATGAGAACTTACAATGAATAATAATGGAAGTTTTTGTTTGTTTCTGCTACTTATGGTGACTGCCGTTTCTACAGGGTCGCTCAGTCAGAATCAGAACATGCAATGATGAGGAAGATAAGAAGAAATATGTCAAGATGACAGAAAAAAGGTCACTGCTAAAAAAGGTGGTTTTTCACAGATGTATCTTCTGAAGTATTGAGCGAATGAAAAAATGGTGTAAAAAAAAAAAAAAGAGCCAGCAACAGGGTTGACCTAACCCTCGAGATGATGTTCAAATGAAAATCATTAAAAAATGTAGGTGAGCTTCTCAGTTGGAGTTAGCGTATTAAAGGGCCCCAGATCAATCCTACACAGACTGCAAATGTTATATTTCTAATGATCTAACTAGACCAGTTTCTAAAGTTTTCTTTTTAATCAAAGTAAAGCTTGCATTTTATATGGAGATAAGGATGGGAATGGAATGATGTTTCTTGTCATCTGATGGTAATAGTCTATTGTTATCATGCAAAAAGAGAGCTGACCAGGAACTAAGCACATAGAACTTTTTTATTTTTTTTATTTAATCTCCACCCTATTTTAATGCCTGTACTCACAGATAAAAAAAAAAAATCTGGATCCAGATAGTGATCTGGATAATTACCAAAATTTAATCATTTGTTGCCAGTCACAATACCCACCTTCTCTGAAAATTTCAGAAAAATCCATCCATTACTTTATTTATTTTGAAAACAGCCTCCTTGGTGGAGGTAAATATCTCCCTCTGTGTAAAGAGTCTATATACTTAGTTACACCTTCGGAAATGAGTCAAGAACATAAATATTTAAATTTTCCACATTTTCTTCTGATGTACCTGAATTATACATCACTGATTAACAGCAGTATCTCGTTCTTGAAACTCTTTATCTGTACATTAGCTTTTAAACCATTTTACTAAATGCTCTCACAAGGTGAACGTGAAGAATTAAAGCTGAAGATTCTACCAGATCATGAAATAGTAACGATTTATTCATCAGCCTGCAGGTTATATTTGAACCGTTTTTCTATAGCGGGTGAGTTGCATTTTAAACAGTTGGTGTCGACTGAAACATTCATTTGTTCTAAAATTAGATTTGTCGATTAGGTTGGAAATATGAACTTTTGTAGCAGCAACAAGCAACATAAACCTTTCCCAAGTAGCACTGAGCTGTTTTCTGGCAAAAGTAGACAGGATGTCTCTGTTTTGCTTCCGCTTTTTGCTATATTAACGTTCTAACTTTCATTTCCCCTGTCGAGCATTTACCGAACCACTCAGTACATTCTGAGTTAAAAAAGATAAAATGAAATAAACAACAGAAAATGATTCTGAACTCAATGAATGCCTTTATTTACCAAGACACTGTTAACACATATATGCAAAAAAACAATTCAGTCACTTATGAGGACAGAACATTTAAAGTGGTAATAAGGAATGTGCTTGTTTCCATTTTTTTTAAACAATTCTTTTAAATAAATATGCTGTAGTCTCTGAAGCTAGTGTTATCAATATATCCTCTTCAAGTCAGATTTGCAGGAATGAAGAAGAAGACGAATGATGAGGAAAACTGCAATAAAAATCCCCTTTCAAAATGCATTTTTATAGGCAAGAAGTGCAGGAAACAAAAAGAAAAAAAAGGCAAATCCCTTCTTCTAAACCTAATACCCACCAAAAGGTATAAATCCAAGTGCTTGGTGGACACACAAACAATATCTCTTATAAGACATCAATATAAACACAACAACGTCTGCATTAGTTGCTTAATTTGTCCATTGCTACAAGGCTGCTGACCGAGCCAGCTAAGGTCAGCTTGTTCAGGTAACTATTTAACTCCTCCACTAAGTTGTGCTCTGCTGTTGGGGGTTGGTTCGTTAAAAAAGGGGATGTAATATGACAGGTTAAGCACCACAGCAGCTTCCTACCTATGTATAGCTTCAAAGGTCTCTGCCTCTCTTTCTCTCTCAGAGAGAATTTACAGATGCTCGGTTTTTCCAGTGGGGCGGAGGAGGGACTCCAACAATGTCTAAGGGGAAAACCTGTTTTGTAGAAAAATCGTCCATCTCATGCAACTTTGCTCCTACTTTCTATCACAAAGAAAAAGTCTTAGAGAAAAGTGCAAGGGAGGGCATGACAGCCCTTTCTGTCGGCAGGTGAGCGAGAGCGCAGGGTCAACCTTGCAGACTCGTCCTCTAACTTGGAGAGCTCTGTGGTTACCACCGAGCAGCCCCCCTGCGCAGGTATGAAGCACCTCATGAGGGGGGTTAAAGCAGCTAAGCTTTTCCCAGGCTTGAAATTTCGACCATGTCAGCTTGGCTGTGCCCTCAATCAGTGCTGTGGTCCTCCAGCTGAGAGATGATGGTGATCAGATTCTGAAGGCCGAAGATGAAGCCGCTGTCTTGGCCTTCGTGCACCACGCTGTCTTCTCCAAAGTGCCGACACGTGGTGTGAGCAAAGTCAATCATGCGTACGTCCACCTCGGGGCTGCTGGGCTCTCCTGCACCGTGTGAAGAGCGACTGCTGCTGCCTGCAGACAAACCACCAGCAGCGCTTGAGGAAGAAGAGCGGGGGAAACCAAATGCCCCTTCCTCTTCTTCCTCCTCCTCTTCTTCATCCTCATCATCGTCGTCAGACGGATCATCCTCGTCCCCGTCCTCCCCGCCTCGATGTCTGGGTCTGGTGGGAGTCCTGGGAGACTCTCCATCATAGATGATGAGCAGCGAGCTAGAGTAGAAGCGGTAGGACTCGCACGCCTCCAGGGCAGCCTGCATCTCCCGAAGCCTGCGCAGCACCGGGGACAGCAGCTCGTGGCGAAGCCGACGGCCATTGTGGAAGAACTGGTAGAGAGCCTCCTTGAAACCTGCAAGGGTCAGCTTTCGCCCGTGGTACTTGTTCATGAACATCAGCTGGCCAGAGTCGGACTGGTACACCTGTGGAAGACATGCAGCAGATAAAGTACTTTGCAACATTTTGAAGGATTCAAGGCATTTCAGGTATTAAAATAAAGGATAAAAATTTCTGAAAAAACCCAAGACAAAACTGAATAAAAACAAGAAAATCGAATATGTAGTTAAATTCAGCATATTTCAATTAATGGTATCGGTTTTAATTATGGCTTACAGCTCATAAAAAAACAAAAGCGAAAGAAAAAAAAAACACATTCATGAGTCAGAATATTACATGGAGCAAGTGGTTAGTACTTAAACAAGTATTGGTTTCCATCTCCACAGCCAACCAGCTGACTGAAGAGGCTAAGCAGCAAAAGGCTGATGTTAAAGAAGCAGATTTTAGCATGGATTACCATGGATTGTAGAAGGAAAGTTTAGTGGAAGGAAAATCTGTTGCCAAATCTGAGAAAGCAATAAGAAGCTGTGGATTTAACAAACTGATTTATAAAAAAAGGTTTTTCATCTTAAATGCAAGTAGTTTATATGTTTTTTAAATTCTGTTCCAATATTGCTCTGAGTGGGTGGTCTCTATACTCCAGTTAACGTTTAGTCAATTTCTAAATTAGTTGATGACTATTTCAAGAATTGATTACAATCGATGAATTGTTTAAGCCCTAATGTGGACATACTTTCACTAATACTTTTCCAGGCTGCTGATTTCTTTACCTGCATCCCACAGAGTCGCACTCCAATCGACGCCGATGTGCTCTGTTGACACTTCCGGATCTGGTTGGCTTTCTTCTCCTCCGAAGCGTCGTCCCCATGCTGCCGAGTTCCCATCTTTAAATCTAACACACATGGGACTCTGTAGCGCCACGTCAGGTTTTCCAACAGAATGAATTCTGTTAGAGGAGGAGTCAAGGATCATAACAGCAACAAGGAGAAATGTGCTCTTCACCAGAACAAATAAATATAAATGTAGTGCTGAGGTCGGTGAGAATACTATTTATAAAAAAGGATACTGTATTGGTTGCGATGTTTTGCATTCTCCTTCATCCTCTGTAGCTGCTGTTGGTGACATTTCAGACTCCAAGGGTTGTGTTTGATCTGCGGTACCGTGTTCCCTTTCTCCAAGTTGAAGAACAGAACCTCAGCTTGCTGCTGCTGGATCTCATCACGATTATAACTGAGCACAGGAAAACAAGGGAATACATCAGCTCTTGTGTTCCATTAAGAATATAAAAGAAACTTATCTCTTTGAGAATCTTCACCTCATGATCTTGTCCTCTTTTCGGCTGTTTCGAGCTCTATCTTTGCTGTAGTTTTCATTCTCCTGCAGCAACAGCGACTGCTTCTTGTTGCTCCACTTCACCATTTTGCTCTTGGGTTCTTGGCAGTCTGCCGTTGGGTCTTTGTTCTCCGTGTCCACAGATTCGCTGTGGAGAGGGTAGGCGATGAGGCACAGGTTCCCTTCCTCGTCTTCTTCAAAGCTTACAGACACGACACCTGCATGAAGAGAAGGATGAAAGGAAGGAGAGGTTTAGTAATTACCACCGTTCTGACAAATCAAATTTGAGCAATAATGAATGAAACACATTTTTACATACAAGAGATTGTGCACAAATCGCCTGGATCAGCTTATTCAAAAGTTGTGTTAAAATGGCAAAGATATTTATCATGAGATAACAGAATGTGCCAGAATATGCTAAAAGTTTTACAATAGATTTTCATGCGGCCCCTGTGACTATATCACATGTATAACAGCAGCTGACCAGACTACATTATTGTGACATAAACCCTGTACATAACACTGAATAAAATATGAAGCAGTGGCAAGTGTAGTTATTATTTACTGCTACTTTATTAAAGCGGCTGGGAGAAAATAAATCAGATTCATGATTACATAGATCTTTATGAACTTCTTTCAATGATGTAGATGGTCTAACAAATAGTTTCTTGCAATAGGATCCCAAATACATTTAGTGTGATGCAGTGAAGCCAAGCACCCCCCCATATCCCCCAAGCTACTATTAAAACTCCCTATAAGGATGTGAGTGCTGCAGGAATAGGAGGGAAGGTGCAGCACTGAGAATAAACATGGCAGCTGCAGTAGCCAGCGCAAATAAAAGCGAAAGAGGAAGGAGGCCTGGGTGTAAAAAGATTAAAAAATAGAAAGGAAAAACTACAAAAGACACATATAGATATCTAACTACACAGCTACGTGTGTAAACAAAGAAGTCCAGCATTAATTTAAGTGTTTGGTTATGGTTGGGATTCTAAATGTGTCTGGAAACTGAAGGAAGAACGGTTGATGTCATGTGCTCTTTGACGTCATCACTGGCATCTTCTTCCGCCTGCTGCAGAGGGCCCCGCCTCTGAAACTCATTCGGCGAGTCTGTCCTGTCCACCAGAGTTGCACAGTCATCATTCGCAGAGAGTGGGAACTTCTGAGTCACTCCAATTTCATCCAATGGAAAGTTAGATGAGTTTTGATAAGGATTTATTGAGGAAAATGTGCTTTTCTTTCTCTTTCAGGCAGGAACGGAGTACATTAGAGGAACAGCTGAGATGCAGATTATTGTCACCTAGTATGACCACAAAGGTTTGAACTCTGATACTAAAGACACTTGAAAGCTCTAGTCAGTTTTAAAAGCACACGTACATAAAAAAAAAAAAATAAAGAAAATATTTTCCTGATAATACTGAGGAAATTCTAAATATCTGAGCCACCGAAAGGCCCAGAAGAACCCTGTCCAAATCCCACTCCTCATTCAGGGTCTTTTTATAGGCCCAGAGTGCATAACCGAGGGGTCAGATACCACCCATGAGCCCCAGCTACTTCAAACTTGGCCTCTTGGAGACTTCTGCTGTTGCATGCATTTGGCGTCATTGTCTGTAAGGGAAGGGGAACCTGTTGGGTTTGACTGAAACCAGGAAACACAACACCCTATTTAAGGCCCATGTGTGGATGAAAACGTGTAATTGTGTGAAACTTTGTGAAACCAGAACCCAGAATCTCCTCAAATGACTTGTGAGCTCCTATCTCCACTCCATTAAGCGGGTTTCTCTCTCCTGTCCTGAAACTGTAGATGCTTTAAAAGCTAGTCCTGGCTAGACATCCTCCTGGCAGGGAGTTACGTCTTGCGTTCATGCCATTTGAAACTCCCCAAAGGACACGAGGTGTGCCTGCCAGCATCTTTAAAATGATTGATATAGCGGTAATTGTGAGGCCATTTATAAAAAACAAACAAATGAAAACAAAACAGGAATCTAAGCAACTGTGACTTTGCCCTGCAGTGCATGCAATGTTCTTTAAACCACCTGTTTCAACCACAGCAAGCACTGGGCAAAGAGGAACCGCTCCAGTTCCTAATATCTACTTCTTCTGCTGAAGAAACATCTTATGCAGACTCAAATTAATCAGTTAATCATTTTTTTTTTTTTTATGTTTCTTATAAGCACATTAAAGTTAGCCCCTCCTTCCAGAGTCTATTGATATTTCTCTGCAACTACCGAATCCTCAACATGTATTCAGTGTTATTGATTGAGTATGCCCTAAATAACTGCCCAAAGCTCAGTATAAATGCCTTTATTTTGATAGGCTGCAATTTGGGATCAGCAGATGAAATACAGAAACATTTACCTCAACTATTCCTTTGAGTAAATGTAACACAACAAATCATAAAATATTTGTTCTACGACATTGGCCATTGATAAAAGCAATATTGGCAATAATCAACAACAGGTTAACAAAGTTGGCAGCATCTCATTTTATACCTAAACTTATGTAATTCTTGTATGTATTTCATTTGAATTTAATGCAACAACAGCTTGTAAGAAAAAGGCTGTGCTCTAATAAATATATATATATATATATATATATATATATATATATATATATATATATATATATATATATATATATATATATATATATATGAGTTAAAATACTTTTTTTGTAATTGAAAAAGTAAAAGTATGAAAGTAAATATTTTAAAAAGGGAAGCAATTCCATTGAAAGCTTATAAATAAAGTATAAAAACAAGAGGATGCTGGAATAACCAAGGCAGAAAACCTACCACCCGATAAAAACAAACAACCCCCCCCAATAAATTGCCCATACCCGCACAGACTTTCGGAACGGCCCTGCATACACATTGACATGACGATGAATTGAAGCTCAATAAAATAATACTAAACACTAGTCTCACCTTTATACTGAGGGGTGAACTTCCTCATTTCTGTGGGCAGGTTTTTGTAGAACTGGTGCTCCCGGGGGATGAGTGGCTTGCATATCGTCTGTTCCCCGAAGCGAAGCACACAGGAGTGGCCTCCAACCTGGTGCACGAACGGCTCAAGCATCACACCCTTTCCAGAATATGGAGTCCCGTCCGCCTGCATGAGGACTTCCAAAGCGGGACACATCCTCATTCCGCATCGGATGGCTGGGTTGTGGAGACCCACCTCGTTTGAGAGGGTACCTGCTCGGCTGCTTTTTAGGCTCCCTATTCTCAGGCTGTTTCCACTCGTCTTCGCGGGGGGGCGCTGTTGCTCACCCGTTCGAACGAATCGGTGAAAAACAAAGGTCTGAAGGGGAAGAAGCAAAACCGGCGACGAATTCCTTTATTTTATTCCTTTTCCTGACTGAAGGAGGCTCTAAAAGGCTCTGTACCCGAGCTACGTGTTTTAAGGTGGATTTAATAATAATCTAAACCAGCCATTACAGCAGCTAAAGCTGTTTTTAATCAACGTGGGTTAGATCTCCTTCTTCGTTTGCGCTTACTGAAACTGACGACAGAGCTAATCCTGGAGCTTAAAACCAGCAGAGGACAGCGCGAGCTCCACCCCTACATCAGAACGAGCCAATCAGAGAGCAGCGACTGTCGCTAGGAGGAAAGATGGCAGCAAGAGAGAGCAAGCAGACAAAGAGGAAGAAGAGAAAGCGGAGGGGGATGGGAATGTACAAAAAAATACAAGAGAGGACATATTATATCTTCATCATTTCAAAAAAATGTATGCTTTATTATCAACACTGAATATGTAGACTTGATCCTCTCCATATATTTTTAGAAAAATGCTGGACATGCTTTAATTATTCATAAATTGTTTTGTTTTGAATAAACAATTCTTAGTTCTCAAATTGAAGTGTCTATTGGTCATAATTATAGTTTCTGGGTTCTCATTTTAGTAGTTAAGTTAAGATTTTTTTCAGTTTTAAACATGATTAATATGTGGTTTTAAAAGTGTTTCTGGTATTTTTAGTAAACCCCCTTTCCCTGTGACTCCCAAACATTCCAGTCTTACTTATAGCTCTCCCTGGTCAACTAATAGGTAAACAACATAATTAATTGTGTGTAAATCAACACAAAATTCCCCTTTCTGTAAAATCCTCTGAGGAGTCATGGAGAACACTTGTTAATAGTGTATAACAAGGAACACAGCATGGATTACATTATGAAGTTTTTCGAAGCTGAGTTAGATTATAAACAATACTTTTAATGCGTGAGGGAGAACTGTTTAATCCACTATCCAAAAATTGTCAGATTATAGTTCAGACAACTAAACAAAGCGGTTCTCAAATGGGATATTGCCAAGACATTCAAGACATTTTTGGAAGAGCTGTAATGATTCGAAGTTTGTTTGGATAATGTAGATAATATCAACAAGAAAACCGTTGTCCTGCTTATGGTTTGCAAACACGGAAAAACAAAATGTAATTTGTTGGTCTACCTGCAATTTTAAATGAGTGGAAAAACATAATACTGCATATCATCATGAAAATGAAATCCCTATCATAGAATGTGGTGGCAGCCTCACGGTGTGGGGATCTTTAGCCAGGAAAATGTAAGATGGACAGAGTTTATAGAAAGTTCAGATAGTTGTATTCAGATTGAGACAGAGCTATTGTGCTAAAAAAAGCATAGTCAAACATGATATTTTTCTGTATTTTCAGGAAGAGCAGTTCTACTACATTTGACTTTGATGGAAAAATAACATAAGCATGCCACATTTTTCAAAGTTGAATTCATAAAAAAAAAACTATCATTTCTGTTTTTCTTTTCCTAAACCAAAATTGTGGACCATTATATTTATGTTTTTCACAATTAAAATACATTAAATGTAAAGTGAGGTCAAGGGCTTTGGATACTTCCCATGTTCCATGTTTACAGCCTGCAAGCCTGCCTGTCATCAGATAACTGACTTAGAGTCTATCACGTGTGGATTTAACGGTGCTTTGCCAAAGCAACACTATCCAAGAGTTTTGTTATCGATACTAACATTTACTATGTGGATGGACAGGTAACTTAAGGCCATGTTCAGACTGAAAATAGCAAGATGCTAAACGAAAAGCACAGCTGTGAAAGCAATAAAAAATGTCCCCTCCTATTATTGCACATCTATGTCATGAGTGAATTTGTGTAAGAAAGTATGAAAACAGTATTTCAGTAGGGATGCTCATTGAAGACATTTCTAACAAAAGAACCAATGAATATACTATGATCTCTTGTTGAAAAAAAGCCCTTTTCCTCCTGCTCTATGCAAAGTCAGCCTAATAACCCCCCAGGCAAATTTTCTTGTTTGACAAAAATCTTACTCTTATTTAATCTTCACAAAATACAAATGTAATACTTTTGAATGTTGTGCTCTGTTTACCTAAAAGAGTTCAGTAGCAAATGTATCATCTGGGGTCAGTTAAGATAAAAAATATTGTGAGTCGTAACAAGCTCTGTGTTGTGTTGACAATCTGCAAAATATACACAGTGACACCCTCTATGTGCCGATGTGTGGTCTAAGATTCCAGAGGCACTTTATTCAAAACAAAATCTAAACATTAGGTATTCCTATAACACTATAACCCCCTTTCCAATGTCTACAACAAATGCTATAGCACTTTGTTATTCATGTATATTCTATCTATCTATCTATCTATCTATCTATCTATCTATCTATCTATCTATCTATCTATCTATCTATCTATCTATCTATCTATCTATCTATCTATCTATCTATCTATCTATCTATCTATCTATCTATCTATCTATCTATCTATCTATCTATCTATCTATCTATCTATCTATCTATCTATCTATCTATCTATCTATCTATCTATCTATCTATCTATCTATCTATCTATCTATCTATCTATCTATCTATCTATCTATCTATCTATCTATCTATCTATCTATCTATCTATCTATCTATCTATCTATCTATCTATCTATCTATCTATCTATCTATCTATCTATCTATCTATCTATCTATCTATCTATCTATCTATCTAGTTTCCGAATGTTCAGTGTACAAAAAAGTAGAGGACTCAAAATTTCCCACGTTGCACGTTGAAAAGTAGCGAAAGAGAAAACAAAGACAGCAAAGGCACCATGCAGGGAGCTCAAGTAACGTGACCACAGGGGAGCAAAAAGTAGTGGTCTCCTGTACAAATGGTCAGTTAACTGAGTTCACTATAAAGACCACTATACAGTCCCTGTCCTACAGTGTGACTGCGGGGGTTAGGGCAGACGTATCAATTCCTTATTGGTCATAACCAAAAATCGACTTTTTAAAAGTAAATTTTCCATTGCGAGCTTTATTGTATGAAATGGCACTACTGACTACACGGTAATAGTTGGTGGCAATTCTCCTAAAATCTGTTTACCAAGCCAATGATATGGGAAGAAGAAGAAAATAAGGAGAAGAGCATAGACACATTAAGGCAGAGTTTTAAAATGGTACTGGGCCATTTTGGTAAAGTTAGCAAAGCCCTTACCTTAAAAAACACACACTCATAGCCCCTATCTGACAATAATTTGTATTCAGAGATCATGTAAACAAAGATAAGCTTGACAAAAGAAAAGCAATCTGCAATAAACGCAGAGTAGAAGTGAAATATTGTGGAAAATTCAACCAGTCTCATGTTGTTGCATCACCATGATCTTATCTTTGAATATGCTGGACAAAGTATAAAACCTGAAAACATTGTGATGGGCGGCTCATATTCCGTGTGGTTCATAGATGCGTCAAGAAAAACCCAACCCTTTTCTTGACAGCAACAGATGAAACACCAGCAAACTCTACAACTATCAGCTGATTCTGCACAATCCCAAAAACTAACAGGTAATTGCAGGTTTTATTTGCAAAGATATGCAGCCACCTTCAGTTTTTGAAAATACAGGTTTCAGGCAGATAATGAAAGTAGCTAAACCGGATTATGCTAAGGTGTCTATCGAACTTCTCTCTGAAGAACTAATCCCAAACACAAACAACTCCATAAAATTTTAACATGGTTTAATCTTTGTTAACCTTTTACTACCATTACTTTATTAGCTCTATATTGAATGTTAATTTATCTTTATTGAATTTTATTGATCTCACATTGCAGAAATTTACCTCTGTACTTAAACCATCCCAATGGGGAGCATTGGGCTGCCATTGTGCAGCACCTGGGGAGCAGTGTAGAGTTAAGGGTCTTGCTCAGGGACCCAGAGTACAACCACTAGGCTAAGAATAACCCAATTTAATACTAGTATCAATATTTTGCATAATTACATTGGCATGTGATTCAGGTAACAGCTTAAAAATGAATAGCAGCAATCCAATTTTGAACTGGATTTAATCAAATTGATAAGAAACTAAAAGAATCAATTCTAAATCATGAGAATCAAAGTGAAATCGAATCTTGAATCAATACCCAGGTTTCTGCCCATGTGTGTAAATCCATGATGAAGAAGGCCTCGGTCAGAGTATATGTTGCTTTTCTACTATAAACATTTTACTCAAAACAAGCTAATTTGACATTTATGATAAAAATCTAACTGTAACCTGTTTTTTCAGATGTCATGAGCATGCCTGAACTGCTTACCTTTAAAAGAAATGAGCTATCTCATTGAACTGTGTCACACGTGTATCTCTCGCTTCAGCTTTTTTTGGTTTGCACGCACAGGGACATGACTGAACGAACATAGCCAGTTTTCAATACAGCGCCTTTGCATGCTGGAAGTAAGATTTTCAATTCATTCATATTGCATAAAAAAAGTTTTCAAGATACTACCTTAGCAGTGCATTAAGCTTGACTTTTTAACAGACTAGCTACACTTTAATTTTTTAACTCCTAGCTGTGTTTGTGCAAAATATGATGCTTTTCCTGAAATTTTGACAATACAGTGTTTTCATGAAGTATTCAAACCTCTACAGTGAAGTCTGGACTCTTTCTGGGACACACTAAATAATCTAAGACTGCTCTTTACCTCTTTGTGATTTGGACTGTGTGTTTTGTTACTTTATATCTTAATCTAAAGTTTTGAGTACTCAGAAAACAAGTTTTACTGCTGACCTTTTTATACTGAGCTGCTGTGATGTATTATCTATGCAGGCTCTCCATTTAAATAATCCTGCAGAACCATGTTCCCAAAAGAATGATGGTGTCACCCCCATTTCTTTTCAGAAGAGAAAGTTTTAGCCACGTGATGAATAGTGCCTGTTTTTTTCATATATGGTCAAGCTGTGGTAAAAAAGTTTATTTTAGTTGACTTCAAATCAAAGGATTTCTTTAGTTGTGCTCCCAAAGCCTTTCATGTGCCTTTTAGTGAGTGGTGGCCTCTGTAGGGGATCAAATGTAAGCAAGAGTGTCTCCCCCCCCTGACCTCACATCCCTGCGACAGAGATTATTATAATAGGGATCATTAGGTGATAAAGATATGGATATTTTAACCTGTGGTTGTCTGTAATTATTTATACAATGAACGTTTTTCCACAGAGAGCCAGAGCCACCCCCTTTTTGATTAAAATTTGAAGAAACAGC